ATTCCGTTTTATATGAATTCCATGTTGTACGAGTCACTTAGATTTTACAAATGTGTGCCGGGCTTTGAATGGTTCACATATTTGTAAAATCTAAGTGACTCGTACAACATGGAATTCATATAAAACGGAATAATCAACAGTGTTATAGGGGGTCAACTGTATTTATGTATAATTGATTAAAAAATTATGAATTTAATTAAAAAATGTAAAGGGCATATTTACAAAATAGATGTGCTCATTAAATAAATGATTAGCAAATAGTTATAAATAGACAAATAAGCTGGTTTGGTTGGTTTCATTTGATGAGATATGGCAATGCAACGTATGGGTAATCTCCCAATGAAGGAACACTTTTTATGAAAAACTGGTCATATTTAAGTGTTAACACATGAAGAAAACTAAAAAAATTCCATATGGCTAGCCTGTTGGTCAGACATGAATCTACAACCAAGCACTTTTATACACTCGACCACTGGCAAGCATATAAATGAACAGAAATTACCAGTATTAGTGTTACAGTTTTAAAAACATTAATTGACTTTTGTAAATGAAATTATTTGAATTAAAAGACTTTTAGTCTGACTCATTTGCAACAAAAACAAAGTTTTTATTGCAAATTTGAGAGAATTGCAAACAAAGAATTTGTAAGACATATATCTAAAGAATTACATAAGTGTAGAGCAACTTCAATAGATAATCCAGTGGATTCAGAAATTATTGATATAATGACTAGGATAATACAATTAATGTTAAATATCTTATCTGGTAATATCTTATAAAATATTTGAAGTATTTAAGATAAACATTTTTCTGTGCTTTATAAATTTTATATTATTTGTTTTTATTTATTACAGATTTTCTGTTTTTTTTTTAATTTCATATTTTAATTTTTAGAGTTTATGGTCAATAAAGTGGAAGGTAGACAATGGATAAATTATCTGTGAAGATATTAAAAAGAAATACTGATACAATATTGCTGGAAAATATTTCAAATATATTTCAAATTATTATTATTTATTATTCAGTAATTATTAAAGACATATATATTACTTTAATTTCAAAAGCTATATGTAAACAGTTTACTAATGAAATTAGTTAATTTTAGAGTGATAAAATATATTACAGTCAACCCCCGTATAAGATCATTGATTATTCCGTTTTATATGAATTCCATGTTGTACAAGTCACTTAAATTTTACAAATACGTGAGCCGTTCACAGCCCGGTTCACGTATTTGTAAAATCTAAGTGACTCGTACAACATGGAATTCATATAAAACGGAATAATCAATGATCTTATACGGGGGTCGACTGTATAAAATACCAATTTAGAATACTATTGAAAGCTTTAGAGAAGCTAAAAAAAAAGAAACCATAAACAATAGAATATAATTAAATTTTTTTAACCCACATAATAAGATTTACCATTACAATCAAATGTATTTAAATAAGCTATATCATAGCTCTAAAGCCAGTGCGCTACAAGATGATGCTAGGTGTGCCACAACACAATTCCTGCAAGAGGAGGAAAAAAACACAGTTTATGGTGAGCACATGAATACAATAAATACATGTTGATTCAAAAGGAAGAATGATTTGCCTATTACATGTTTATTGCCACTGACATTTGTGATAGAAGGAATTGTAATAAGCTTCAAACTTTTACATTTTTGCAGTTCATAGTCACAGAATATGTGCATGCATTATTCACAAACTTAACTTTAAAAAGTGAGAATCATATTTCACAGAATCTGTGCATATGTAAAGTTCGCAAATTATGTATCACAGTTGCCATCTCAATTTTCACAAAGTGACAAGTAGATGATGTCTCTGTTGCATCTATGATCATAGAATTGGGATCCTGATCATATGCTTTTCACACCAGGTCTGTATGACATCTCAACCAAAATGTTTTTCTCAGTTGTTGAGAAATAAAATTGAAATAAAAAAAAAATTGATTATAAACAATTTTCAAATATTTCTATATTATCACAAGTGAAAAAAACACTATATCAGTATTTCATGTTTTGTATATACTTTGTAACTCCTACATTTTTGCATATTTTACTTCTGGTGTGCCGAGAATTCCAGGAAGTACCCAGATATGCTGTGTGAGAGAAAAGGTTGCAGAGCACTGATCTATATGATTATTATTAACCAATATAACATTTTAATATTTCATTATTTCATAAAATATGATTTATAATATTTCACAGAAACTACTTTTTATTTCTTATTTTTATTTTTGACTCTGTCCTGTGGGCAATAAAAAGGTCTTTTAACTATACCCATCATGGATTTGCTAGGCCTATAATGGGGTGGCCAGGTGGTAAAAGACATACCGAAGATAAAAGTACTCCCAAAAATTCCTGAAGTTTGCAGAAATAGTTATAAAACAATATACTAACTCATTGTTCATATTTATATTGAAATTGATAACTGTAATTTGAAATTTAAAATAATTAATACTATTTACATATCCAGTAAATTCTGATTTATTTTTATTGTAATATATTCATTTTTTTCTCTTTTAGGAACTCAACATTGATCCAAAATTATTTGTTAATTATCCAAAAAATGGAATGAAAGTAATGGCTGTTTCCTGTTGAAACTATATATATATCATATCATATCATAAGAAGAAATTATTATTTGTCAACAATCAGATTAATATCAAATATTTTTAATAATACAGTGATCTTCAAAATATAAAAATACATGTGTTTAATTTTTCCCTATGTTTTATGTATGTATGTTAATTTTCAAACATTTCATTAAAATTCTTATGTTAACTGATGTTAGATCTGTATCATTTATTTAAAATTTGTACACAGTTATAATCATATAACTTCATTGACTTTCTTTTCAAATGCATAATAACAAACAATTATTTTATAAAACCTTAGATTCACCTTCACTATTTTCATTATTGGAAGAAAGATTTTTAAACAAATAATACAGCTGCAATACTTCTTCATTTAAACCCAATAATATAAACTGAAATTACTCATAGATAAATACTTTGTTCAACTCATTTTCAAGTGAAACGAATAAGTTAAATTATCTGACAGCAAAAAATTAAATTCCTACAATAATACATAAATTTTTGTATAAATAATACATAAATTTATGAGCAAAACACAATAAAAATTTGTAATGTTTTCAATTTATTATAAAACTAAAAAGCTTTAAAAACTTCAGTAATAATAAAAATTTTGAGAAATGCTTAATATTACCAATGACTTGAAAAGCTTGTACACAAACAGTGATTTATGCTCAGAATCATAAATAAAAGTATAAAATCTTTCTATTATTTTTAAAAGTAATAAATTTGCCAGGTTAATCACAATTTTCTTTAAAGAAATTTAATAGAATAGATCTTAATAAAAAATTCTATTAAAAAGAAAAAATACATTAAATCATAACTACAGAAGGTTGATTGAGAGGTTATTCAATTTGTTCACATAAAAAGGAATCAACCTTCTGTATTTTTATATTAATTAAAAACTTTAAGTGTATATTTGTGTGTTATCTATTATGTTTTATTCAGTTCAACATTGTCATAACAAGGTTAAATCATTATGTATACTATCTATCCTATGTAATAACAATTATTTAGTGAAGATAATTTAAAAAATCAAGTAAAATATATAAATTCATATATTCATGTTAAACAGATCGCATGTCAACTCATCTCTTGTATCAAATAAATAATACTATAGAAAAATCTCTCCTCATTGTCATATTTAATAATAGATCTTGTATATAAAACTGATTCATTATATTATAATAAACTTTTTATTAAAATATTGATAATTTATTATATTCTTTGTTAAGAAATATTAACAATAATATAGTCCAATAACAAATTAATACTTTAAAAATACTTTACAAAGTAATAATATTTTGTTTTATAAATAATAAAAATTATAAATTTTTCTCTTTAACATGAACATAAAATCCAACATTATTTGAAAACAAAACTCTTTTCATTTCTTTTAACTCCGCAATTTTTTCTATCAATACTTCTTCCATTTTGCTAACTTCATGCAGAGTTGAATCGGGAAAATCTAAATAATTTTAAATATAAAAATTAATATATATTTTAAATGTTTAATTTTTTACACAAAAAATATAATANATAGTTTAAATTTAATAACAAGTAACTTTGAGGTGTCCATAGAAAAGCTAAAGAATTTTCCAACAAACTATACTTCTACTATATATAAAGACTATCTTGAGCTAAATATTTCTCTCTATCAAAGACTGTTGAAGTTCAACCAACAAAAACCTTTTATCAGAAAAGTGAGTACAATAAATAGATGAAAATCTCAAAATTCCACTGAGGAAAACCAAGTTATGAGTGACAAATCAGTGCTTACTAATTTTAATTTGTTATAAACCAACCTCCTGAGATCAGACTCTGGCAGCTCTGGAATCTTGAACTAGCAACAAAAAATAGCCTCAGTTAAACTAATAGCTAATGGTGGTCTACCCAATTCAGATCTCAAAACAGGTCCAGGAACTGAATAATTAAATTAAGATGAAAAATCAATTTAATGAATCTCAATTGAGTCTTCTCCAGTCTGTCAACAAGACATGGACCCCAAATAGGAAACAGAAAACCAAAACTTGACTGTATGAAGAAATTGAACAGTCAAAAATATGACTTAACAGAAGATTGCTTCATTTTAATCAAAAACTTTATCACAAGTTTAAGTTTAAATTACATAATTACTTTGTCTAAATGAAAAGAAAACAAAACCTGCAGTGTAAAACAAATGACTAGGTATTTATATAATGGCACCACTTCCAATTCAGAATTGAATACATAGAATTTATCAGCCTTTCCTGGCCTACCAACTCTGACAAATCATTACCTTAGATTTAATCTATTAGTTCTACAATAATCCTGTTAAACAGGTACCTCCCAACCTTTTTTGATTTGCATACCCCTTGGCAGCCCATTTTTCTAAATTGTACTCCTTGTATTAGAAAAATGTTTCTACTTTATATAGTTTAAACTTATTGCAACTATAAATAAATAGCAGTGATGTGTAAAGGAAGGTGCACAGGCTGTTGAATTCATGAAGATTACAAGGTTATCTGTATAGGTACAAATGTTTAGTGCTCAGTGTTTTATCTACTTTTCTACTTACCACACCATTGCTCTTTGAAGTTGGTTAATGAAAAAGAAACTAATAATAAATTGTATATATGTATTTAAAACTCAGATGATGAATTTATTGAATTCAAGTTATATGATGTTGCCAAAGGCCTCTGAATCTCAATGCAGAATCTGAATATTCTTATAGTACATTTGCCATTATCAATTTTTCTTTGTGTATCCCTAAATCATCAAGTGCATACAGCAATTCATCAAAAGAAAAAGGTTCATCCAATAATGGATACATATCATCATCAATGCCATCAAAAATTACAGCAAGAAGAGGTCTATTAAAAAAAGCTTTTAAATAATCTGGCCATTCAGTAATAGAGATAATATTACATACAAGATTTTTTAATTCTAAATTTATTAACAAGCTTTCAAAATTCTCCAGAATTTTTAATTTGCAACATCTGAAAATTAACTTTAGTCCAAAATTCTTCTTAGCCTTACAAAGAATTTAAATTTTTTGTTTAAATTAAAATAAATAGTGAAATGTTGTCTAGATCTTAATCTCCTAAAAGATTGTAAAGCCTGATGTTTACATTTCTTCAGTCACAGACAGTCTGCATCAAACCAAAACTTCATAAAATTTATTTAACAATCATATTTAATAAACACACAACTTTGTGCTGCAGATTCAAGAATCATATCAATGAAAGATAAATAGTAAGATAAAGAATCCAAAAAGAATCCTATTTTGCATCAGCATGGAAAGCGGCAGCATTACAATTATAAAAATGGACATGTGCAATTGAATATGAGAAGATTATAGAAGATTATATAACGTTTTGGAATTTCCGTTTGGCAAATTTAAATTCTATTAGTTCGATTCTGAAGAAGTTCTGTTAATCTGACCGAAAACGTTCGAGAAATTTTTAAAATAGACTGCATTTTAAAGGTATTTGGAGTTTATTAATTGATCAGTCTTTATGCAAATTTATGCTTAAGCCATTCAAATTTAGTGGATAAACAATTTTTTTTCAAGATGACATCAAATCACTCTTCTAAGAAAGAGTGATTTGATACACAGTAATAGATGAAAACAACAAAGATGAAAACAATTCCATCCATTGAGATTTTAGAACTTGTTCACTAGGCATTCTTTGATGTTTTCCAATTGAGGATATAGACAGACAACTTTGAAAGAGAAGAAGGAGGAGGAGTATGGAACATAGGATCAGGATTAGATTTGATACCTCCAAGTAATATTTAACACACATAAAATAAAACACACATAACAAATAAAAATCAAAAAATTAGTAAAACTAAAGTAAGTATAAACATAAAAGATTAGACAAATCATATTCAAACTGTTAAGAACATTATTCAAAAATTTGTGGAAAAAAGTCACCAGCACTCATAATAGCATCAAAAAATGTATACAAATTATTAATTTTAAAATAATGTATATAATTTTTTAAAATGTAAAAATATGCTATAACTAAGCTAAAAATTCAACTAGGTTTATTTTTAATAATGCAAATTTTTCATAAAAAATATTTCATTATTAAACACCAGAAATTACAAAATATATATATATATGTACTGTACATTAATATTCAGAGTTTTTGCAGTTACAGTAGAACCCCGGTTAACGAACGTAGTCCGTTCACTAACCGAATTGTTCGTTAACAAAGCAATTTTTCCCATAGAAATTAATGCAAATACAATTAATCCATTCTAGCTGTCAGTATTTTTGTAATTTTATTTGTAAAATGGGTTTTCTTTGATGAAAATATAAGAAAACGTAATATCTATCATTCCAGCAACAAATATGTAAACTTTATTTAATAAAGTAGCACTGTACATACCTTTGTTTCTACGGAGCTTAATGCTTGGAAGAGGAACCCCCTCCATAAAAATATCAAGTAGCACTGCATTGGGAATTTCTTCAAGTCGAGGTCTCTTTTGATAAGGAACAAGAAAGTGATCTAAAGTTGATTGTCTTACTCTCTTAATCAAAATTTTTCTAAAATGCACTAGCACAGAGTCGTTCATTAAATTAATGACCCTATTAGCCACAACTTTGTTAGGATGGTGCTTCTCGATAAATTCCTGCACATCATTCCATTTTCTGCAAATTTCCTTGATCTCAGCACTGGTGATTTCTTCCCTAGCCTTCTCAGATTCCTCTGACGAATGCTCTTCTTGTAAGACTTTCATCTGTTCTTCCTGCATGGCAATCAGCTCTTCTGTCGTTAGTTCATTTTGATGGTCTTTCAGCAACTCTTCCACGTCTGCATCATCTACCTCTACTCTCAAACTCTTGCCAATGGACATGATTTCATGTACTACATCAGGAGAGCTCTCTTCTTCAAATTCCTGAAAGTTTCACTCTGGGACACAAGTTGGCCAAAGTTTCCTCCAGGCTTATTGAAAAGTGTGGTGAGAGACCTCACTCTAGGCTTTGTCAATAAGGTTGATACAATGCAGGATGTTAAAATGCTCCTTCCAAAAAGCTCTAAGAGTTAAGTCAGTATCATTGGTAAGCTGAAAACACGTGGTAAACAGTGCCTTGGTATACAGCTTTTTAAAATTGGAAATCACTTGCTGATCCATTGGTTGCAGTTATGAGGTTGTGTTGGGTGGAAGGAATTTGACCTTGATGAAGTCATGTTCACTACCCAAGTCGTCCTCCAAATTTGGTGGATGTGCTGAAGCATTATCCATTAAGAGAACACATCTAAGAGGAAGATCCATTTCTTGAAGATAATTTTTAACAGTAGGAGCAAACACTTCTGTGAGCCAATCCATGAATAAAGTCCGAGTTACCAATGCCTTACTATTTGCCTTCCATTGTACAGGCAGTTTGGACTTTATCACATTTTTGCTCTTAAAGGCATGGGGATTTTCAGCATTGTAGACTAAAAGTGGCTTGATTTTGAGGTCACCATTTGCATTAGCGCAAAATAAAAGAGTGAGTCTGTCCTTCATGGGCTTGTGCCTGGGAAGTGCTTTCTCTTCTTGAGTTATGTACGTTCGTCAAGGCATTCTTTTCCAAAAAAGGCCGGTCTCATCACAATTAAACACTTGATTCCAGACGTATCCTTCACTTTTTACAAACTCTGTGAATTCATCTACAAATGCTTCTGCTGCTTTTTCATCTGAACTTGAAGCCTCCCCATGTCTTATGACACTGAATGCCAGTTCGTTGACAAAACCTATCAAATCACTCTCGGCTCGCTTTAAAGTCCTGCCTGTCTGCACTTGTACTGGGTATCTGGGTCAACACGTCATTGTATAAATTTTTAGCCTTTTCACAAATTATAGCTTCACTAACACTGTCTCCAGCAAATTGTTTTTCATTGATCCATATTAGCAACAGTTTTTCAACTTCATCTAAAACTTTAGATCTTTGTTTCAATAGCACATTCACTCCTTTAGCCACTTCAGCAGCCTTAAATGCTTTTTTGTTTTTAATAATTGTAGAGATAGTCGATTTTGCCACATTATATTCTTTAGCGATGTCAGAAACACAAATGCCATTCTCGTATTTTGCAATAATTTCTTTCTCTAATGCTACACTAAAACGTTTTCTATTTCCACTGTCACTTTTCTCTTTCTTCAGTGCCATATTGATTAAATATACAGTATAAATAACAAAACCAAAAATGAAGTTTAGCACACTCAAAAAATTAATGCTTACCTCGCGCACACCTAAGACCAACTAAAATTGTGAGGTTACAGAACGGCTGGAAACTATTGGGTTGATGCAAAAGTTTGTCCTGTTTTTAGCACCAGCTGGCTAAAAACGCAACACTGAAGTGTTATTTCCTTCACATGTGTAAAATTTCGATTGTTTGACAAAAGGGATCTCAGCTAGTATTTGAGAATAAAGTTGTGTTACTTAGTTGTGTTTTTAAAATTTTGCTAAGAATTACAAATGACAGAAAATAAGGAGCATTTTCGACATATTATGCTTTTTTATTTCTGAAAAGGCAAGAATGCTTCGCAGACACAAAAAAATGATATGTTCTGTATATGGTGAGAGAGCGATTGAAGATTCCATGTGCCACAAGTGGTTCAGAAAGTTTTGTGAAAGCAAGCTTATAAATTTGACACAAAAAGCCGTTAAGTTCATTATCCAAATTTTGTTCATTATCCAAGACAAAATTTTGCAAATTAAAAGTTCGTTAACTGATTTGGTCGTTAACCAGGACATTCATTAACCGAGGTTCCACTGTATATCAAAAAGTTTAACATATTTCAAAATTTGAATATAGTATAGTCAAGTCTTATTATCAAAACTTATATGAACTGAAGGTATCCTGTAAAGTCAAAAGTCAGATAAGTTAAAATGTTTGGTTCAAAGTGATCAATGAAATATGAGAATATTTATAAGAATGTTTATATATATGACAACAAAAACTGAAATAAATGAATGAGTTATGCCAAGTGTTGATTATTATGCTGCATTGTGGTTTTGAAAAACTAATATAAAGATACAACACGGGTTCAAAATATGAAAGAATGTTTAATAATTTCATATTGTAAATAAATTTCTAAAAAATCCAGGACAAAATATACTTTTTAAAACATATTGTAAAAAATATGAATAATAAGACTTATACAAATAAAAATATTGAAGTCTTCCTTGCATCCTTTTCATCATCACAGGAAACATGATCTACATTGGCTCTGACTTCACCAATGTGTTATTATTGCAGTTTGACACAATACATTGTCAGGTCATTCTTTGACTGGTAAATTTTGACTGGTAAATAAATTTCTGTTTTAGATTTTGGCTGTTCATGAAAATTTATAATTCATTTTTATTTAATTTCATAAGTACTATATTTAGTATATTGACACCATATAAATCTTCCATATATTATACTAATGATATAAGTTTAAAATAAATCCTGAATTCTTTTGAAAGTATACTGTAATTAAATAGTTTTAATATCAACTAATTTTAATATCTTAAACAATTCCTATTTCTATAACAATCATTTAATAAAATTAATTTTTCAATAAAGAAATTTAAGAATTTAATTAAAGTTTCAAAGACAAGTTTATATAATTTAGAAGAATATATTCATTAAAATTTCTAACCATTTAATTCATGTGATGATTCTTGAGATAGCCACCATAACTCTTTTAGAAAAGGATAATTTGTCAATATATTATATTTTCCATCTGAAAAGGAACCTATAAAAGAATATTTTAATTTAGACAATGAATATAAACATTTTTAATAAAAATAATATATTTTTATTATTATTTTCTACAAAATTTCATTCCTACAGAAGCTATCAAATTTGTTTGTAACTGTAGAATCAGATAATTTAGAAAAAACAACTTTACATTCACACATTTCTTTGTATTGAATAATACACAATTAAGGAAAAAGGAAAATTAACAATACATTGAATTCACATAAGTAAGTCACTTATATATAGAAACAGAGGATTCTATTTTCTTGTACTATTACTCTTAAATAGTACAATTGTACAACTGTACAGAACCATAGTGGCCAAAGTGCAGCTCTTCTAGACTCTTAGTGCAACTTCCATGTACTTATACAATTTCTTTATTTTCTACTTACACAAATGTAATATTTTTGTACGTTTGCTAACTATTATGTAGTGTGATATACAAACAGATTGCAACTTATCTTTGAACAGGCAACTGAAAGCTGAGGGTATGTTCATATGAATGAGATTTTAAACAGTTATTATCTCAATTACAAGTCTACAACCTTCTATCAGTGATGAAGAAGAAACATTGATATGTACTTAGATAAAAAAGTTATAATTAATCTATATATATAATCGAGATGGATTGATGATGATAAGTGCAGAGCTTAGGTTAGGAGTTGAAAGTTGAAATTTGGCACACAGATAGAGTATGTTACAAGAATGTACACTAAGAAGGGTTTTTCGAAATTCTCCCCACGGGGGAGAGGGAGAGGATTAAGGCTTTACCCTGAAGAACTCTGCTTCTACTGTACTGTTTTATATGTGGTTTTTTGCGTTTTTGATTGCATTTTAATAGGGTGCGTACACTAAGAAGGGATTTTTCGTAATTCCCCCCACGGGGGAGAGGTTGTTAACACTTCCCCCATGGGAGAATGTTAACAATGGGAGTGTTAAGAATGAAAGTGTTAACAATGAAAGTGTTGAGAGAAAGTGGCATGCAAGATTAACAGGCGCAGATGTGTTTTTTTGCATTTTTGTGGGAAATCGAACATATTTTCAAAAAGATCTAAAATTTCTCTAATTAGTCTGGAAACAATGGGACTAATTCTTGCATTCTGTGAAAACAGGTAAGATTGGCTAAAATGTAATAACCTTAATCTTCACTATCGTTACTTTATGCCTGAGCAATGCCAGACTTATTTGCTAGTTTATAATAAACTCATTTTCTCTAAGTTTTTTAAAAAAACCTTTCTTACATATTGAAATTACATTTAAAGTAACAGAACTCAATTAAAAATCCCAGTAGAAAATCCTAATGGTATTCTATTGATTCTACTGAAATGTAAAATCGAATTGAAATCAATAAAAATTTCCATTCATATTGTAAGGAAATATTTAAATCAATAAAAAAATTCCACTGATTTACATGTTATTAGTCTAAAAAAGTGATGGAATTTCAAAACTAAATTTTATTGATATGATGATAACAATTAAAATGTGTTTATATATTTGTAGACTGGCAAAATAAAATAGAATTTTCATGCAATATCATGTTTATGTTATTGAATTTGAACTTTTGCTATCTTTACTTGATTGTATATTTCAATGTTCCCATTCAAAATTTTATGTTCACTTAATTAAAACTTAATTTGAAGCAGAATCCTGACTGATACTGTAACTTGTCCTCTTGATGAAATTACAGTATAATCAATTCTCTACATGGAAAACCATCTTTAAAATATACAATAGAACCATTAACATATTATGACTTCATTTATTTTATTTTAATGTAAATAATGTTTATTGTTTTTAATGTTTGAAATAACAATAATTAACTATTCTTATTTAATTTAGAGACTGGTTTAACAGCAAAATTCCTGTGATTAGGAAATAAGTACAGTTCACTACAATTTTAAGAAAATATAAAAAAAGAATAAATAAAAAATAACATATTACAAAAAATTTAAACAAAAAATAATAAAATGACTGTAAATAACCATTTTAATAATTCATATATGTAATATTTTTATTATATACAGAACTAATCATGTAATTTTCATAATTTCTAGATGTGAGTTAGATAACAGAATGAATTTGAACAATATCACTGTCATTAATGAGATCTGGTAACCACTACTACAGCTAGGGATGTCCTGATACTGTCAATACCAATACTGTTTCAATACTTTCCTTTGATACTGAGTACTTTTTGAATTTGCTACTTTTGGTCCAATATCGATACTGGTATGAACTTCAGGTATTGGATTCAGTATCATTACATTTTTCACAGACAAGAAAGATCCAACTGAAATAATATTTTGCAGCCAAAACCAAAACAAACAGGATTTAGGTTTTAAAGTCAGTTTCAGCCAAACAAACAAAATCTTATGCTATTTTTTGTTAATATTAATGATCAAAAATCAATAAACTTATTACATGAAATTTCATTTGCAGAAATTATATACTGTTTGCTTAGATTACTATTTATAAATAATTCACCAATTATTTGAAAAACTTAAAAATATTTTGAAATCTCAAATCAACTGAAACAATGTTAGTAACATTTAAGTTTATATTAAAAGTCAGTTTTAATAATTTGTTAATAATAACTAACTAGAATAAAGCATGTTACTTATGTTAAAATAAAAAGTTTCAATTATCATATGCTAAATGTTTCAAAATCAAGCCATGGACTGAACAGCGACGGATGGCAAGATTTCCAGTTTCGATACCTGATGCCAATACTAACTGGTATCAATACTTTAATCAATGATTTTGTAGTATTGGGACATCCCTAACTACAGCTCTGAGAAGAGTCCATTTAAGATACCATCCCCTTCTGGTTTTCTATTGATATATTATTACACTATAACATCAATCTAGAGCAGTGATTCTCAACCTTTTTTTACCCATGGACCCCTTTTCCTCTTAATTTTTTTTATGCACCCCCATAGACATTGCACAGAAAAAATCTTATATTTTTCACTAAAAAAAAAGAAAGGTAAACATTTAGAAATGTCACTGTCTAGTGACATGATGCTGATGGTATAAGATTCTCCTAACAAACCCCAGCTTTATAATCTTTCTTTGACCTTTGTCAATAGAGTAATAAAGAAATTGACAATATATATACTGTAGAAATTTAATTATCAGTAAAACAATTGTTCTGAAGTAGAATTACACTATAGATCACTAAAATATTACCGTGAACCCACAATTCAGTACTTTTTTCTGTGGACCCAGTAATGTTGAGAACCACTGATCTAGAGATTAGATGATAGTCATACAATGATTGTCACACCTTTGTAACATTTTAACACATTTTAGAATATACAAAGTTCCTTTTTACCAACTTTTTTATATTATACAGTTTTAATAGTGTTTTTGTTATACTCTTTCCTTTTATAATTTACAGGTGATATTTCTTTTATTAATATTTTTAACTGTTTACTAGACTTACAATTTAATAAATTTATTTATTTTTAGTATATACAAGTTTCCTTATATCAACCATTAATTTTTAATACAATTTTACCATGCTTCCCATTCTATAATACACAGGTATCCATTTTATTAATAATTTTATTAATAACTTAACCTTTTTATATTTTACTTAATTTTCGTATTTTACCATTATTGTTATTATTTATTTATCCAGTTGTCAGCATTTTAACCATAATACACATTTAACTTCTACCATCCAAGTAATACTGTGTTCATTATATTTTTTATTTTAACTATTTCTTAAATTTTGTAATGTTTTATAACCAGATTGATGTAAAANATTTACAATATATTTGATAGTGTATTTGAGAGTGAAAGATAACTATATTACTTGCTTAATTTTAGAACAATTTTATTATTTAAATGTATCTTTGATTAAACTTAAAATATATATTTAGTTAGTTTTGTAACACTTCACACACACACATATATATATATGTGTGTGTGAAGTATAGGGGTCTACTGTATATGTATATATATATAAACTTGCAACCGTATTCATATAAACACACTAAAAGAAACTTGTAAAATGCAGCAAAACATCATCGCTGACTCATGTCACAACAGGATTGGTTGAATCTAGACCAATAGCAGATATTGCACAAACCATTGAGTTTAAACAAGCAGCAGACCTACTAAAAACCATTCATTATTTAATGTTCATAAAAATGATATTTATATTAATGATGTCTCCAAAGTTCAGCAAATTTTTCGCAGAAAAATAATTTATCAGGAAACATGCACCTGCCATTTGATGCACCGCTCCATGACGAAAACAAGCTTAAGCAATGGCGTCGTCGAACNTGCGTAATGTCTGTATGTCATACAGGCACATGACAGGCAGGCCAAACTAAATTATATTTGAATTTTAAGTTTGTTCTTTGTAATTAGCAGAAAAAACAACTTTACATTTAATATTATTATTATAAGTGATAACCTATCAAATTTGTTTGTAACTGTAGAATCAGATAATTTAGAAAAAACAACTTTACATTCACACATTTCTTTGTATTGAATAATACACAATTAAGGAAAAAGGAAAATTAACAATACATTGAATTCACATAAGTAAGTCACTTATATATAGAAACAGAGGATTCTATTTTCTTGTACTATTACTCTTAAATAGTACAATTGTACAACTGTACAGAACCATAGTGGCCAAAGTGCAGCTCTTCTAGACTCTTAGTGCAACTTCCATGTACTTATACAATTTCTTTATTTTCTACTTACACAAATGTAATATTTTTGTACGTTTGCTAACTATTATGTAGTGTGATATACAAACAGATTGCAACTTATCTTTGAACAGGCAACTGAAAGCTGAGGGTATGTTCATATGAATGAGATTTTAAACAGTTATTATCTCAATTACAAGTCTACAACCTTCTATCAGTGATGAAGAAGAAACATTGATATGTACTTAGATAAAAAAGTTATAATTAATCTATATATATAATCGAGATGGATTGATGATGATAAGTGCAGAGCTTAGGTTAGGAGTTG